GGTCTGGAGAGGGGTCCGGGGACTTACAAGGAACAGACTATGACCTGCCCTGACGTTCCAGAGACACTGTTTGTGATGTTCCCTGCCACAGAGCAGGGTGATGTGTTTTCCTTTAACCTTTCCCATTTTTCCTTATTTTTTTTAAATTAATTGTTAATTAAACAACTTGTATTTGCTTTAAATTGTATGAAATGATCAGTGGGTCAGGGAGGTGCCCAGTGCAAAGAGAGTACCCTGGAGTGGGGACACCCTAGCCCCTGTCCTGGGTGACCACAGCAGGGTTGAGGGTCGAGCCCCCCCAGGAATCCTGGGCCCAGCCTTGTCGGGGTTTACGAGGACTCTGCCAGACAGGAGAGTGGAAGGGGAGTCCTCAAGGGCAGGGAGGCCTCTGGGTAAAGGGAGTGGGAGCGAGGACTCGGATCCTTTCGCTAGCCCACCTCACCGGGGTAGTGCAGAAGCCAGGAAAGTTCCCCACAATAGTGGGACCATTCCCCCGCTTACATTGGCACCAGGGCTCAATGTTGCTCACTTGTCTCCCGGCCGAGTTCCATCTGTCCACCGGATCCCTGGGGCTGTCCCTGCCTGCCCACTGTCCCCCTCTGGATCCCATTGTAACTGTCACCCTCACTCCCCTTCCGGGAGTCTCACAGGCCCCGCCAGCCGATCCCCGGCTGGTCCCCCTCCCCGGGACAAACACCCGCCTTTCTCCAGCTCCGGCTCTCGTCCCAGAGCAACTGTCCAATCAACGCACGGCATTTTCCTGACTCCGCCCCTCTTCAACTATCCAATGGGGGCGGCTTTTTCCCCATGGCTCCGCCCCTCCTCGTTGCGAAACAACCAATGGAAATGTGCTCCCGCCCCATGCCCCAAACGCTGTTCAGCGTCGCTTAGGTTACTGCTGTGGTGGCTGCGAGTTGCGGCCGGTGGCTATGGAGTCCTTGACGCAGCGGGTCAGTAATAGTGGCCTTGGTGCCGCCGCCTCTTGCGCGCTCGGCCGCTTCAGTCCCCCCTGCTCGCCCGAGACCGCGGCGGCCGCCTATCTCCCGCCGCCCGGGCCGGGGCCTTCCTCGGAGGGTGGGCTGGGGCGGGTAAGCGCTGCTGGGCGGGAGGGGGCTCAGCTGTGCGCCGCCGGGGAGGCGCAGAGGCGATACGGAGCCGGCACGGTTGCGGCTGCAGCGTTTGGTGTAGGCGGGGGCTGGTGGGAGCCTGTCGAGGCGCAGGGAGGCCGCGGGCAGTCGCTGAAGGCGGTGGTCGCGCTCCGCTCAGCGCCGGACCGGTCCCTGGGGTGTCACAGTAACGCTTCCCTTTCAGGCGCTGATCAGCTACTATTGCCAGGAAGGGTACTTCCGGCACGTCCAGGTGGCTGCTAATGAGGCGCTCAAGAAGTTTGGCAACGACCCCGTGTTCCTGTTCTACCGCGCCTATGGCATGATGATGGAAGGTGACTGACTGCTTGTAGCTGGATCTTTGTTAAACGCTGAATGGGAAACCATCAGCTTCAAATCCAGGCCACTTCACTTCACTGACCCTTCCCCTGACACCCGCCACCAGTTCCTGCGGTTTTACAACAATATTTATTTTTTTAAAGAGTTATTATTAATGATTTGAATTTTAGAAGCGCCTGGAGGCCCCGGTTGAAATCGGGGTTTCCGTGTGCTGCCAATGTAACAGATAGTCATTGCTCCCAAGAGTGCATGAGCTAAATAGATAAGACCAACAAAAGGTGGGAGGTGAAACAGGTACACAGAAATAACTTGTTTTAAAGCTTTTTTATTGGAGCTTGTTTTCTTTATTTAGCTAATCAGTCCAAATTGTGATCAACTGGAATAATTTTTATGTACTTTGAGTTCTGTATTATGGGGCTTTGTTTAGATTTACTATTACTAGATCTACTTATTAAGTAGGTTTGGGAAAATGGAACTTTAAAAAAAAAAAAAGTTGGAAACACTCCACCTGTCCCTGAACTCAGGCCAGTCTGTCTTTTTACAATAACATTTTCCTATTTTTTTTTTTTTTAAAAGTGTGTTCCTCCTCCTGTTGCAGATATAGAAAATGCCTGGAAGGGGGAACCAGTGCCCAAAGTGCAGTAAAAAGCACAATATAAAATGAATAAAGCAGGGGTGGACCAACTTTTTGGCCTGAGGGCCACATCTGGGTGGGGAAATTGTATACAGGACCATGAATGTAGGGCTGGGGCAGGAGGTTGGGGTGCAGGAGGGAGTGTGGGAGTGGGGTGTGGTGTGCAGGAAGGGCTCTGGGCAAGCGGTTGGGGTGCAGGGGGGTGCAGTGTGGGAGGGGGCTCAGGGCAGGGGGTTGGAGTGCAGGAGGAGTTTGAGATAC